CATACGAAGAAGGAGGAGAGTATCAGGCGGGGGTTTTCAATTTTTTGGTATTTCATTCCCCCCTTGGCAATTAAAAAATTGAAGAACGCGTGCCAATGAAAAAAAATTATAAAGCGACAGTTCTACACGACGCACTTTTTTATAGTAGGTGCCCTCCGTGTTTTTTATTTTTTTTTGTTGGACACTAATTTTAGGGCACACATAAATGGGTGTCCTCTATGCTTCATATTTTGGAAAACTGACATCAATTTTTACAGCACGTACAAATGCGTGTCCTCTATCAGCGCGTGTCATTGATTGTGCGTCGTAAAAGGCTGTTTTTCTAGTAGTGGCGTGCTGTGAAAACATCACATGTTAATGGTTCAAGATATCTTATAATAGAGACTGACTCATAACCAACATATATTCCCAACCTTCTTTGAGGACCCATTTTCTTCCGTTGAGGTGGTGCAATAGGGACATATACTGCACACCCAAAAATTCTCAAATGGGATATATTTGGCTCTTGACCGAAAGCAAGTTGTAGTGGAGAATATACATGATATGAACTTGGTCTCATGTGTATCAATGATCCAGCATGTAAGATTGCATGGCCCCAAACAGAAACAGGAAGTTTGGTCCTCATTATCAATGGTCTAGCTATTAGTTGGAGACGTTTAATCAGTGATTCAGCTAAACCATTTTGTGTGTGTACATGAGCTACTGGATGCTCAACAACAATTCCTACAGACATACAATAGTCATTAAATGCTTGTGAAGTAAATTCACCAGCATTATCAAGTCTCACTCTTTTGATAGTATAATCAGGGAAATGTGCCCTTAATTTAATAATTTGGGCAAGAAACTTTGCAAATTCCATATTACGAGTTGATAATAGGCAAACATGAGACCAGTTGCTGGATGCATCTATTAAGACCATAAAGTATCTAAATGGTCCAGATGGTGGGTGAATCGGTCCATATATATCACCTTGAATTCTTTCTAGAAATCTAGGTGACTCCCTTTCAACTTTCATTGGAGAATGTTTTAAAATTAACTTTCCAAGGGAACAAGATGCACATGGTTTTATGCTGTTGGATTGAGGGAGCTTTTGGTCCTTCAATGGATGCCCATGTGTATTCTCAATTATCCTTCGCATCATTGTTAATCCTGGGTGGCCCAACCTATCATGCCATAAACTGAATGTCCTAGGATCACAATGTTTTCCTTCTACTACCATATTTGATTCAATCATATGTATATATGTATAATGCAGAACATAATCAAGTGTTGGTAGTTTTTCAAGCACATGGTTTTTGTCTATAACATACATATATTTCTTATTTTCAATGGTCACAGTTTTTGTGTCATAACCTTTGAAATATATGACATTGAAACTTAATAAGTTTCTATTAGACTTTGGAGAAAATAAGGCGTTTTCTATACAAAAGCTTGTACCATTTGGTAATATAAAATGGGCTTTCCCGATTCCCTCTATCAAGTCTGCAGGACCTGATATTGTATGTATGACTGTTTTTGTTGGTACTAATTCTAAAAAATATTTTTTGATTTCAGAATAGTATGTGTACTACCACTATCTGCTATACAAAGATCTCCAATCTTTTCTTGGTGTTTTGCTCCAGTTGGACTCATATTAAACTTCACATATAAAAGGAATAATAAGTGAATAAACATAATCATAATTATTATTAAAAAAGAAAGCTCATTTATTGTAGGAAAGACATTACATGAAAAACAAACGAAGGAAAAATAGTTTTACTAGAACAATAATAGATTTTTTTTTTTAGTTTATGTCTTCCATGTCATTACAGAAATTAGCAACATTTAGCGAAGTGAATTCAACATTATCAATGATGTTTGCTTCTTTTCCTTTTCCTTTAATGGACTCTTGATAAAGTTGACAAGGATGTGCAGGTGTGCGACAGGTCCTTGACCAATGGCCTGTGCTACCACATCTATAACATGAACCATCAGATTTTTGTGATGTCCCAGTGTCATGCCTTGTCACTTTGGCCTTATCTTGTGTGTGGACATTGTTTCTTTGTAAATATTGGTAATTATTCCTTTTTTGGCCACGACCACGATTATTACCTTGTACACGACCAGAATTATGGTTCTGATTATGACTTTGGTTTCAGTTAAAATAGCCACGGCCTCATCCTCGACCACGACCTCTCCCTCGTCCACGTGTATTGTTTTGATGACCATCAATATTTGTAGCATTTGCTTCAGGAAGTGCTACTGATCTTGGACGAGATTCATGGTTTTTCATAAAGAGTTCATTGTTTTGCTCTGCAACGAGCAGACATGCATTCAATTTAGAATATCTTGTGAACTTTTGCATCCGATATTGTTGCATCAAGGTAATGTTTGTTGCATGAAATGTTGAGTAAGTTTTCTCCAACATATCTTCATCAGTAACCTCTTGTCCACAATACTTGAGTTGTGAACATATTCTGAACAAAGCTGAGTTGTATTCATTTACTTTCTTAAAGTCTTG